ATTCTATGTATAGAAAGCAGATAATTAAACAATGCCTGTGTTAAGTAAAAAAAAAAAACATATACGAGAAGAATTCATAAGAAATCTATAATTATATAAGCAATTGAAATAAATAGATAATAAACAAATTGTACGATTTCATTTATAACAACCAATATGTAAGCGAATACTTAACTAATAAATACAAAATATCCTAAGTAATCAATAATGCAAAATGAGTTAAAGTTTTTTAAAAATTACCCTATATTATGGCTATAAAATAACTGGATTCTGGCGCTAAAATTAGTTCTATCATAAAAACGCGGCCGTTTACCGAAGGAATGGTTAAGGTAAGACAATACACCTGGAATAATCAATACTTTTATGCATAATGTCCCATTGACAAAACATATATACATTGTAGGGCTATCACCCAATGCACATGGCCTGAAGATTGCATTCACGTAAATAGATTGCCGTATCTCATTGTTGACCTCGCATACGCTTTATCCCAGATAGTAATTTTGCACATAAATTCAATATACATTAAAACTATATATGTATCGATATATTACTCTCTCTCTCAGAGATATATATATATATATATATATATATATATATATATATATATATATATATATATATATATATATATATATATATGATCTATCACACATATAGTGCTGGTGTTAATAAAATAGTGCTCGATGTAATATAACGGTGCTATTAAATGAATATTAATAAATATACATATTATCCTTTACCGCTAGCATGAAGCAGAGTTTTATGCACGAAGCAACCTTCATGTTCTGAGTATGAGTGAATATATTGTGCGTTTCTTCAGATCTAACCATGTTTCCTCGGACAAGGGGAGCCGCAAGTTCGATTCCAGCCGGAGGGTGCATTTTTTCTCTAAGATTTCTCAAATCTTTATCTAGGCATATTATTTATTCCAATGGTTTAAACATTTAATTTTATTTGTTTATATTATAAATTATGTATATTATAATTTATATACGTTAACTACACAACCATATTTGCCTGAAGGAATTGTATAGTATATATATATATATATATATATATATATATATATATATATATATATATATATATATATATATATATATATATATATATATAAGGTGTGCTATATTTATGGGATAAAGTGCTCACTATCAGAGACAGAGCCTATGTAAATATAAATATAAAAGTGAACATTGAAGTCAACACTCAGAGGCTACAGCCTATTTTACGCTGGATGCAATCGACAGGCCTGACGAATGTGGTTGTGTAACTGGACTCATAAATAATTACATCGGTTACACAACCACATACTTACGTTACACCTATCTGATCACAGCTCCATTAGAACCCATTTAAACACACACACAAATCTACCAGACTCCATTAGAAACATATTAGTAGAAAACACAAATATATTAACTGCATCCACCTGCAAAAAAAGCCAACTCTTAACAATATTAACTACGAACAAAGCCACAATGTGCTAACCGAATTCGGAAAAAAAAATCCTCCCTTCCACATACTAAGACATACACAGAACGCACAAACTCAATTAAGATGAAAAATCGAATCATCTTTGATAATGGCTAAATGTTTAGCCGAAAGTGCTCGGAAATATAAAACATTTGAACAGTTCTTACACACCCTTTGTCCAGAAAAGAAAACTCTTGTTAGAACACAAGAAAAATTAAATAAAAAAAAACTTACCTTGTCTGTCGTTTTAATGAAACATGCATATATATATATATATATATATATATATATATATATATATATATATATATATATATAGGGAGAGAGAGATTGATAAAGATATAGATATGAACTGAGATTGAATATTGAAGTTAGAAACGTTTATAAATTCTATGCTTACTGTGACTGTATATGTCCGTGTATGCACGTGACTGTCTCTATCTCTCCCTGTTTGTGCGTGTATTTGTCAGTGTGTGTGTGTGTGTGACTTTAGGAGAGCAACGAAAATTCTTTAAGATTTTTTTGTCTTATTTCCATCTTTTATTTGATTTCTAAAATTTATTCGCGTTTCCAGGTAACTTTTCAAATAATCTCTCGTTAGAATACTTGCGCTTATAGGCTATTACAAAACCATTTTATTTCTTGTGTTAGTAGGGCTGTGCTAATACACTTTTGACGGCGTCACGTTCATCTCGACCAGCGGGTTTTCAAACTTTTCCCCAGTGCATCCTTTTTTTTTCCGTAGGTCAGAATGTCATTTTCTCCTCGATTCCATGACTGACCGACTGAAAATGTGCATTCAGAATACTATGCATATATTATTGAAAATCTTCATTCATTTCCACAGTAGAACATATGCATTTTCCAATTTAATAGCAATTGAAAATATTGTTGGATTTTAATACTTGTTATACATGTGCAGTAATTTGTTTTAATTCAAAACTAATTATTAGATAACTGAACTGAAGTATACTTTAGTTAACAAAAAGTTCATTAGAATATTAAGGCATTTGTTGTTTGGTTGCAACCTTCGGCCTCGAGACCATAGATGTGCGTCCAGAAATGTATGCCACCGCTGTTGATGACATCGCAGCATCTTTTATGGCTATACAGGCCTACACAGGAGTGACAGTCTCGATTGCAACCGATCCACGTAAAGACGCTCTACATCGCTGTCGCTATGTGTTCCTTCCTTTGAGCATGCTTCACCATGTTTGCAAGCCTCTGTTTCTCCTCTCCTTGCTCCAACCCTCGGCGTAAATCACGTTTCCGGAATGAGCGATCCCTGGCAACGCATCCTTACCTCTTGTTGTCCATGTCCATCACCATCATGTCAATTTTATAGATGTTCTTGAAAGGAAAAAAGAGATCACTTCGTGTCCTTGCTGCTATGAACACTAGCCAGGACCTATTATCGAAATAGGAACTATAACAATTTTATGCTACACAGACAATACAACAAGGTTAATCGCCCAGGCATTGAGATCAGAGACAGAAAAAAAAACAAAATGGACCTTCTTATTGACATAGCTGACCCTGCAGACTATAATGTATCTTTGAAGATCTTCAAGAAACTATCAAAATACAAGTATCTTGAAAACGAAATGTGGCCCATGGAGGCAGGAACAATTCTAGTTGTAAATACAGCCCTCGGATTGATTGGAAAAAACAAATATATTCATTGAAGGAATTCCTGATTGTCCATGCTTTAAAGAAATACTAAATATTGTAGGCACAAGTACAGACCACACCTTACGATAGGGTTTATCTGTGTGGAGACAAGTCAACTATCGGTACGATATAACTTACGTCAATTCACCACAATCTTGTTGAACACCGTTCCTTGTTTGTCCTTTTGTCAATTCTCCCTATACTAAATCGTTTCTCTCTTTTCTTCTCTGTAACCCTCCAGCGTACTAGTAGCATCCCCGTCTTTCTTGATGCAAAATGATTTTATAAAAGAAGATAAATAGGAAACATTCCTGAACGCATTTCAAGACACTGGAAACAACTGGGTGACATGGTTTGGGTCACTGTTGCTTCCGAAGTTTCTAAACAGCTCTTGGTGTTCATGGAAGAAAAAAGGGAATGGGAATAGCAGAGATTGAATTTATAATGTGTTGTCCTGATTATTGACCACATTTGGTATTTTCTATCTCTTTAGTTAAGACTTAACTTCCACACACACGCCTAAAGAGGAATGTCTGAAAAGTCAATGTTGCCACCACCAATGATCTATACTGGCGTGCGATGTTTCACGTATCTCATACTCAAGTGTTTCAGGTTTGAAAGAAGCTCTTAAGACAGTGTTACAATTTACGCAAAAAGATAGTGAAGAAATAGCACTTCAATTGAGAAGAGATTAAGCGCTATGCTAAAAGCAAAGGGTGGTGATTTTGAATTGTAATTATATGCAGAATAGGTTCAATAAAAAATAATAATCAACCTTGAAATGCTCATTAATCAAAACATTATTTTATGATCAAATGGATGTGTAAATGCATGTGTCGCATCTAGTTAAGTTCAGTTTTTGTAAATGTTATGGAACTTTACCCATAATAACATAATGGACTATTCCATACGTAATAAATACTGGGTCTCAAGAGGAAGCGAAGAGGGAGTTCAGTTTGAAGTCTGGATTAAGTTCTGTCAGGAGTCTGTCAGTCAGTCAGAGCGAGCCAGTCAGTCAGTCGAGTTAGAGGCAGACCCAAACAGAGTCGCGTTCAGACAATTGCTACTAAACCTGATTGTTCGTACTAAAACTTTCTACTTCTCTGTATATATTCCTGTTTGTAATATATTTGTGTTGTTCCATATACGTGTTCGTGGTCTTCTTTATTGGTTCTACCTTGGACTATCACCGTGGTACAAGGAACCGGACCATAACAGTAAACCTACTGCACATAACATGTATAAAAATATGTCAGATAAAAAATAGTGATTCTTTGGTAACCAAGCAAAAGCCTAACCATCGGGCTAAACATATTTATTACGATTATATGGAGACAATATATAAATATTTTAAAAACAAAAATGTTCTTTTGAATCTTTTGCTTTTTTTTTTTTTGTCGTTTTTTGGTCTATCGTTGTTTTCCGTCTTTTGAAATCAGATTTGTCAATCTTTCTTCACGCTAGTTTAATACTTTGTGAATTACACTAGTTTTTTGCCACTTGTCGTGGGTTCTTGTCATTTTGTGAGAAAAAAATCTTTGTAAATATCTCTTTTTCCTGAAAAAAAATAGCTGTGTTATTTCATACATATACATACATACATATATATATATATATATATATATATATATATATATATATATATATATATATTGCATTGTTTCTTAACATTACAATTCTTGGCGATTATTTTTTGTAAACAAGTACGTGTATGATTCTATTGGGAAAAAATATCTTTCTTTTTTTGCGTCTTTCATTTTTTTTGGGGATTATTTAACAATCTTTCTGATGTCCTTCCTTTGTCTGGTTTTCCTTATTTTCTTTATTTATTTGTTCTGTTCGGACGACATTATATGTGTTTTTATTTCTTTCTTTTTCTTCTGTCTTTTCTTTTTACTTCTCATCTTGTGGCGTTTTTTCTTGTCTCTCTTTTTTATCTTTCTCTCTCATTCATCCTTTTATTCATTTATTCTTTCCATTTAATTATTTCTTTTTCATTTTTTCTTTACGACTTTTTCTACTTTATCTTTCATTTAGTTGTTAATTCATTCTCATTCGTTTTTGTCATTTTTATTTCCTGCTTTCTACTTTCATTTCTTTCTGCTTTTTTTTATTTTCTTTCTGTCGCTTTTTTTACTTCTTTTTTTTTCTCTATATGTCTTTCAATTCCCGCCTTTTTTCATTTACTATTAACCTTCCTTTTCTTTTTTTTTTAAATCTTTTTTTTCTGTCTTTCATTTTAGATATTCTCATTTCCACACGTTTACAGTCTTGTACTTTCTTTCTTTTTTACTTTTTCGTTTCTTTATTTCTTTCTTTTTTTTTATTTCTTCTTTTTTATAGCTTTTCTCTTACTCGCGTTTTCTCCTTTCTTTCTCTCGCTTCTGAGTGTTGACTTCAATATTAACCTTTATATATATATATATATATATATATATATATATATATATATATATATATATATATATATAAAGTCAACTAGAGGCGACAGTCTGTTTCATGCTATATGCAATCGCCAGGCCACACACGCTCTATCTCTGATATTGAGCACTTTATTCCATAAATATAGCACACCTTAAGACTATATTTCTTTTATATATATATATATATATATATATATATATATATATATATATATATATATATATATAGATAAAAGAACAATAATAAATATAACATATTTCGCTTTTATTAAAGCTTCATCAGAGAATGGGTTATGGAGAAAAAGAAAAAACCTTAAAATGTTTGTCTTGTTTGCAGACTCGTGTATTTATCTGATTCTGATCCATATTTGAACTGTTTATCCCAATTCATATTCATATATAAGGAGAGATTATATTTTTTGGTCTTTACTTTATAACTAATATTTATTATTTTCTATTTCTTCAAATTGTTTGAACTCGGTGTCTTTAAGAATATCATTCAATTTCAATCTGACTTGCGGTGTTAAAATGTAAAATATAGGTCAAGGCTGCATTAACTGTCTCTGTTTAAGCCAGACATTTCCACCTCCCCCTCCCATTATACTGTGGGGTTGGGTTAATTTAATATCTATATTCTCAACGGCCTCCTCCTGCTTCCTTTCTTTTCTTTTTCCTTCTCTTTAGATGCCAATTTTTTTTAAGTCTCTGATTTCATATCTACACACTATCTGAGTTGAAAAATGCCAACAGAGTAACGTGTTGGTCGAAATAGCTATTCTTATGAGGTACATTTGGATTTCTCTATTATGTAACTTATATGCTCTTTTATAATAAATACAATGAACTCTTTTTGTGGATCAGTTTTAATATTTTATATTAATAGGATTCACTTGGATTTTATATATATATGTTGGAATTGTTGCGTACCCTGGTGTACTAGTGAGCCAGCGAAAATGAGCTGATTCATATTATAGTTCACCAATATAAAGGTTAACCAATCAGAAGGCTCAAAATATTCAATGCGACGTGTATAAAGGCGGCCATGTTTTTTTCACGAAGATGCACTGCCTGCCTTTGATCGCGAAGACTGAGTTGTTTCATTCAACAGATTACGTACTGCGCTGTATTCTATATTCATAGACTATGGTGAACATGGTCATATATATATATATATATATATATATATATATATATATATATAGCTCACATTCGCTTAACAGACATTGAACTATATCACATAGTGTCCCCACATAAATGGTCTGACCTTTATATTTATGAGCGCATCTAATATTAAATATTTTTTCTCTTACAGATAAAATCTTTGCATTTGCCTTGATAATTCCCCACAGATGACGAAACGCGTTTCCCTTTCTCTTTATTCATATTGTTCTTTTATAGATATACTCTATGTGAAATATTTAACAGACACACACACGCACATACACACACACGCACACAAACACACAGAGCACATATATACACACACGCGCACACGCACACACACACACACGCACACACACACACACATATATATATATATATATATATATATATATATATATATATATATATATATATATATAGGTAAAAGAGAAACTCGGATGAGTTCCACCACGGAATATGTGATCGAGCGGCCCTATATCGAGTCTAATTCCTTACCTCTTCGTCAACGAGGCGTTGGAGTAATTGGAATGACGTTTGCCTAATAACATAACTGTCCGGGTTTCAATTCTCGGTGTTGGATGCGCACTGCTGATGAGTCCCAAATATAGAACGAAACAGCCGTCCAGTTCTTTCTGAGATTTCTTCTAGATGCATTACTTAATTATAATTATCTCAAAATCCTAATTCTATCATATATATATATATATATATATATATATATAATATATATCATATATATATATATATATATGTGTGATAAATGTATGCCATATTTATGGGCAAAGTGGTCAATATCTGGAATGGCGCATATGTAAATATTAAAGTGATCAACACAGTTTGTCAACAATCTCTTTTCATGCCTGAACGTTCACCCAAGAAGTGGTTTGGTTTTCCTCGTTTTACGGCATATCAACCACAACAGGTTATTTAATGCCGACAAAATTTTTATTGCTGGTATTTTTTTTCCAAAAATGTATTGCTGGTAATATTTTTTCCTTGAAAAATCTATTTCTGGTAATATTTTTTTCAACAATGTATAACTGGTAATATTTAAAAAAAAAATATATATATTGCTGGTAATACATTTTACTAAATATATATAGTTGGTAATATTTTTTTTTCAAAAATATATTGCTAGTTATATTGTTTTTTTTTTTCCAAAACTGTAATTGATGTTAATATTTTTTTTTAAATGTATTGACGGTAATAATGTACTGCTGGTAAAAAATTATTTCTGGTATTAAAACCTATTTTTACACTTTCATAGTGTTTTGGCCCTTGTTTGGGGGTTAAATATTTACTCATGGCTGGGACCCTAACAGGTGCTACCACCCCGGGTCAGGGTGGACCTGGGAACACCATCAATTAAGAGATGGTTTCACGCTCCTCAAAACTTTCTGATCAGATTCCTTGCTGTTAGGCGTAGTTTAGTGTCTTACACAGGACGCAGATGAAGTTTATCGTCATACCTCTGATGCAAGAAAAGACGGTATATATATTTCGAAGGAAGATAAAATCAAAATAACTTCCCTATATATTTCAGTTCTAAATATCTGATATAGCTAGATTACCATAAAATGCTATGTACGCTAAATTCAAAATAAGCTGAAAAGTCATACTGCGTTTATCTTCTTGGCTATTAACAGTCTTCCATGCTTCTCTGTCAACGTTGGATTATTTGATACAGTTTTCTTATCCCTATATACTCAATATTGCAACGGGAAATTGATGAGATACCTGAAAGCGTCCAGCGATTCGTCATCATGTTGATCTTTGTGGAATAGCTCTTTAAAGTGCGCTAAACAGGTAAATTACAGAATCTCAAACAGAAGATAGCAACGGAGAGTGAGAAGAAAGGACTAAGCATAAACTACAAGAAGACAGAATGCATGGTCATCAGTAAGAGGATGGGCCCGAAATGCAATTTAAAGATCGGGAACACTAGAATCAAGCAGACGCGGAAGTTTAAATATCTGGAAAGCGTTTTGACAGAGGACGGTAAGTGCGACACTGAGATCCGTAGACATATTGGGATGGCCAAGGACACATTCCAAAAGCTGGGCAGAGTATTGCGAGACAGGAGGATTTCTTTGGTAACAAAGAAAAGAATACTGAGCTGTTATGTGACATCTGTCCTTCTTTATGGCAGCGAATGGTGGACGACTTCTTCAAAGACGAAGAAGTGACTCGAGGCGCGGACATGTAGTCCTACAGAAGGATGCCAAGGGTAACATTGACCGAGCGTGTGAGCAACGATGAGGTCTTAGAGAGGTTACAAACAAGGAGGAGGCCTATAGTTAACATCAGAAAGAGACAGCTGAAGTTTCGGGGACACATAATGAGGAAGGAGGGCCTGAAGAATCTGATACTCACATGTCGAATAGAGGGGAAAGAGAGACAAGGGAAAACAACGCGTGACATGCCTGGCGGGCTTAAGCAAATGGATGACAGAATGTGGACTGGAGGAGGAAGCAGATGGAAGGAACTTGCTGTAAGGGATAGAAGGAGGTTGAGGGCCATGATCGCCTACGTCTAGAAAAAGGAAATAGCAAGGGTTTTTTTAAAACAAAACATTGATTATAAACATAAAATTTGACCGTTTTAAAGTCAATATTTGCATTTGTCAGTATTTCATTAATCATTACACCATCTTTGATGTTTGCATAATTTATATTGTCAAATGAAGCTGATTTGATGAAAAATTAAAAAAAATTAGAAAGCAAAATAACAGGGAAGTGAAGTCAACTATAAGAATGGCTCAATGTCATAATGAATGAACAAAATTTGTTTCTATAGATGATATTTATTTAACAGGTAAATTTACTATTCCTATATTCATTGTATGGTAGAAAAAAGAGGTATAATCACTGTATTTTACAGTAACGATGCACAATCTTGCAATTTCAAAACAAATCATGCCATACAGGGTAAAAGTTAATTAAGCTTGGTGTCAAGATTGGGATCGATAAATAATAATCCTCAGTGGGGTTTTGGGAAAGCTTGGGGCAAAAAAAAAGTTTCAATTTGATTTTCTCCATATATTTTACTATTAATAGTAATTGAAATATATATTTAAATATAATTATTAGGTTGGTGCAAAAATAATGTCGTTTTTTGACGTTAAAAATACGTCAAAAAACGGCATTGTTACGTCATTATTTTTGCACCAACCTAATAGAAAAAAAAGTGAAAAATTAAAAAAAAGAAAAAAATTACGTAAATTTGTAAAAATCGACGAAAGCAGTCTGAAACGAATCGTAGAAAGGATACGAGAAAATAAATAAAAAATAGTTAATGATAAGCTTGTAGTGGATACAAGATCATTACTTTGAGCGAGGAAAAATATTCTATTAACCTGAAATCAACTAACAGAATTTGGAACCATGTTTTTTTTTGTTTGTTTTTTTTTTTAGTTTTCAGCCATATGCAGAACGAATTGGAAAACGAACTTGATTATAGGGTCAAATTTTGTGTATCAGCCACCAGACAAAAACGTTGCACAAATAGATATTTACAAAACTGTGTGAAAAGATAGTCTTATTTGATTATGTTCTTTTATTGCTCACTCTTATTCCTTCTCTTTCAGTAAGCACTCATTGTTTATTGAATTTTATCGACCTGATCGGCGTAAAAATGTTTTCCGTTTCTACAATATTCCTTTAATCTTTACACATTAAATAGTCAAATAGACCCAAGATCTCCGTGATTAAATTTCCTTATTCCCTACACAACAAGTAATGGAATAGGCTTGTAGATGTATTTCTCATCCCTTACGATCCCATGATGAGAGTCTATTTGTCTCG